CATATGCATAAACAGCTTGCAGTGCTAGGAATAAGCTCACCTTATTCATCATCCTCTACACAAAATGAGTTCAGCTTTAAAAAAAATCCTAATCCTTCCCGACTCTCATCAAAATGAGAAATAAAAATTCTGGCTGATGTTTCTTTTTAACAAGATAATATAACATACTAATTAATATGCACTGCAGAATTACTGCTCTAGTATCAATAGGAATAGATGTCTAGGTAAGAACAGACAGATATTGGTGGGGACTCGGTTATTAGAAGGGCAGATAGGGTGAATTGTCACAAGGATTATTAAACACTAATACAAAACTAAAAACCAAAAGAGATGGAACTTCTGTTATTCAAGGAGTAGTTGGACTTTTTGGGAATATTGGAGACCTGGTTGGACATCTTACATGGCTACTAATATCCAGGGTACACTTTTTTTCATAGAGACAGAATTGAAAGAGGAGGTTGAGGTGTATGCCTGCATGTGAAGCATGATCTGAAAGTGAGTATGAGGGATGATATCACAAATGACAAGTGCATCAAAATAGTAAAGAACTCTAGTAACAGTATGTTATAGGCCCCTTACATAAAAAAGAAGAGTTTGAGCTCCTGTCACAGACTGAAATGGTTGGAAAACATATTATGGCCAACTTCAATTATCCTGATATTAATTGTGCAAATGGAACTGCACACTCAACAAAAGCAATTTCTTGGGTCAGCAGCAAGAGGACGGCTGCGGGATCTGATGGACGGCCACAGACTATGTGCACAGGACGTAACTATGGTAGTATGTGCTGGAGGTGATCTATATAACATCACAGGAGAATAACAGGAGAACATAAACAGACGGGGACCCTCCTCAGATGAGGTAACAAAGACTAGTTATGATGTTAGTATTCTACTCTTAGGTCACTCACATCCCGTCTTATGATGAAAGAAATTGTATCCCTTAAGTAGCTGGTAGGTAAGCCTAGGAGCTGCTGTGTCATTATTAATTTCTCAGTATGTTTTTGAGGTGTGACTGGATACATTTCTCATACTTTTTTCTACAGTGACAGGCAATACTTGATTTGTTGTCATTTGGCTTTCTCTGACTTTGGGGAGATTTTTGGCAATGGAAACATAGGTACATGCATTGTACATGCATCCCCATTGACATTTATGGGGCCAAATGACGGCAGATGCAGAACAAATCATGCTAGTGTGAATGGGACTTCACTGCTATGTTTACAGTTCCATTTTATGTTAACATTCTTTAGCTGTCATTGGTGGTTGAATTTACCTATTTATGATTTGATTATAATCTTTGTTGTGTTGAATTATATTATGTTTTTGTTTATTTGGATTATGTTATAATGTCTATCTGGATGATGCTTTTGATGGTACTATATTTAAAGGTTTTGTGGGAATTTAGCAGGCAACTATGATTAGGGCTCCTTTGGCTGAAACACGTAGGCAGGACTCCTATGTCTAGTTTTCTGCCTTGAAGATTTTTACTAGATTCAGAACCATGTGCAAACACATTTTATCTACTGTTTATGATGAAGGGCTGGGGGAAGCCTTGGCTGTGCAATTGGCTTCCATGAAACTGGATTGGAAGAAGGAGACAGAGAATTCTCTGTTTGTCTTTGTCTGCGAAAATGGAATTATAACAACCAGTATGGTTTTATGAAAGGCTGTTCTTGTCAGAACAACCTGTTATCAATCTACAAGGAGGTGAATAAAACTTTGGATGAAGGAAGACCAGTAGACGTACTTTATCTGCTAAAGCATTTGATACTGTACCTCAAATGTTTAATCTACAAAGTAAGATCTATTGGTATCAATGAAACTGTATGTACGTTGATAGAAAAAAAATTACAGGATTGGTTCCAGTAATAAATTATTAATCTTCTCAATGGTCTAAGGTTGGGAGTGGTGTGCCCCAGGGATCTATCTTGGGGCCATTGCTATTTAACTATCTTACTAATGATATTGAGGCTGGAATTAAGAGCTCAATTTCAGCAGTTGCTGATGACATAACATTTTTCAACTCTGGACAAGATGTAGCATCATTATAGGAGGATCTTTATAAGATTGAGTTTTGGGCAGCTACATCGCAGGTGAGGATCAGTATTAAAAATGTAAAGTTATGCATTGGGTACCAGAAATACCGTATACATGTAAATTCTCAATAGGATGGGTTCTGCTGAGTGATTGTGGAAGTGATGGAAAAGCTTGTAGACCACATACTCAGCAATAGCATGTAATGCTAAGTTGCAGTTGACATGCCATGATATACAAGGCTGTGGGAACTCTTCACGAAGCTGCCGAAGGATCTGGCCGTAGCTTCGGCCGATCCTTCGGCTAGCTTCGGCCCCAGGACCCCTTTGGTTCAGTAGAACCGAAGGGGTGCTGTACGGGCTATTCACAATTGCCCGTACAGCTGCCAATCATGGCCGAGCAGCTCAGCCGAGCCAAATGCATTGGCAGGCCGACAGCCTGCTTCTGACAGCTGGGCGGAGCCAGCCGTGATCTTACAGCTGGCTCCGGCCACTTTCAGAGAGATCAGCGTCCCTGGTTACCTGCTAACTCTCCCTGGCGCCCCGGGAGTCTCTTGCTCCCGGTCGCCAAGGAGAGAAACATTGCTGTCTTTTTTTCTTTATTCTGACACGAGCGATGTCAGAATAGAAAAAAAAGCAAATTTTCCCATTGAAAAGCATTGGGGCATTACTATTGTCTATTTCAATATGCAATAGCCAATAGTAAACTAGCATTGCACCCGCCCTCTGCTGCAGTTCCCAATTCAGGTCCATCAGCAGAGGGCGGGTACAATGCTAGTTTACTATTGGCTATTGCAAATTGAAATAGCCAATAGTAATGTCCCAATGCTTTTCAATGTGAAAATTCAGTTTTTGTTTTTTTTTCTATTCTGACATCGCTCGTGTCAGAATAAAGAAAAAAAAGAAACAGCAGTGTTTCTCTCGTTGGCGGCCGGGAGCAGGAGACTCCCGGGGCGCCAGACTCGGTACCTCTGAGGGACCAAGCAGAACAGCCGGACTGAATGCCGCTGAGCGGCATTCGGCTATTCACTCACTGCTGTTCGGCATCTTTAAGAATAGCCCGAACAGCAGTGAGTAGCCTGCCGGAGGTTCGGCTCAGCCGATCCAGATGTTGGATCGGCTGAGTCGAACTCCTTCTGCACTTCGGGTCGGCCGAACATGTTCGGCCGACCCGAAGCCCCACGAAGCAAGCCGATGTACGGCTGAAATCAGCCGTACCAGCCTGAAGTGAATAGCCGAACAGTGTTCGGCTCACTTCACTTCAGATAGGTCATTCACTCGGCTGCCCTCGGCAGCTTAGTGAATAGACCCCTTAGAGACTTGAGCTCACACATGTACACACAAACACAACCATGTAAGTCAAACTAGATGGACCTGTGTCTTTTTTCAACCTCTTCAACTATATAACTGTATATGTCACTAAGCTCAAAATATAAATGTATTACAGGAAATTTAGATGTGTAACTATTCCAATATTTAATGATAAGTAACTTTTGCTAATATTAGTTGTTCAAACAAAATATTCACATTAAATATTTATAAATACATATTTGATCAACTAATTGTTATGCTCTAGTATACCACTTGAATTTCTTGGAAATGTTTAATACAAATTTGTTTATTTGTAATAATATTTGTCAGGGCCCACAAGGATACTTACAGAAGGGTGTTTCCAAAGTAGTAACTGATAAGGCAGCAATATAAAGTCGACTTATACATTATAATCTCATTATATTTATTATATTCTAGAAAAAGGTATTATCTTTAAAAAAAAAGGCATTGCTCATTCTACAATGGTATGTCTTTTCTGACAAATCAATTTTTTATGTATTACTTTTTATTATTTTTTTTACATGTTTTTAAGATTATTTGTTTTATAAATATTATAGTTTAGAAAATAAAATAATTACCAGAAAATTAGGACAAATAAAATACATTATCTAATTCTAATAGGGTATTTAACATACTGTATATAGCCAAGTGTGTGTGTTTATCAGTTGTATTTACCATGCCATTTAGCAAACTTAATAAGCAATAAAAGTAAATATAGGTAAAGTAAATAAGCTTACATTGATGCATTCAAGATGTTATGTATCTATGTAAATAAAAAGTAAATTGTATGTGATATCTTCAAGTGCCAATACAAATAATTAAGTAATTAAGTATAAGTAACTAAAAATACTTAGAGATATTTTTCTTAGAAATCTATTGGGCTTGTTTTTTTTATCTACACTGCATGTCATTTTCTCTACAGTTTGCCAAAATGGTTTACCTCCTGGTGTTGTTCTGCCTATTTGCTGCAGGTACTTTAGTACAATGCCAAGCTCAATCTTTTAAAAATTGTGTTGGAGCTCCGGGATTTCGTGGAATCCCAGGACAGAATGGTCTTCCTGGAAGAGATGGAAGAGACGGCATGAAAGGAGAACTGTGTGTACCTGGTATGAATTATAATTATTATTATTATAATTATTATAATTATTATTATTATGTTACATATATCCCATTACATTTATGTTCAATAGATATTTTACAGTTATAAATATCAGAGCAAATATTGGAATAGTTACACATCTAAATTTCCTGTAATACATTTATATTTTGAGCTTAGTGACATATACAGTTATATAGTTGAAGAGGTTGAAAAAAGACCTAGCTCTAGCACAACTGGCAATTTAAAACCTTAATCCAAGCCAGGGTCCAAAGTTGGTGGGGAGGAGGCTGGCCTTCAGTGCCCAGGGCACAGAGGCTTCCGTGAAAAAAGTAAAGAGAAAAAGCCTGAAAAAAATAATGCAGCCACCTCATCTAAGGACTAGTAAGCTGCAATATTTTACATATTTGTTTTTCCTTTTAGATATGCTTTAAGTAAATATTCTAAACAGAAAGAGAGGGGACTACTCTTAGTTACACTACGCTCCAAATACACTACACCACTATATCCAAGCTGATATTTTGAATTTCAGGGCCAATGGGTCCTCCAGGAGGAAATCAAGGACCACCAGGAAAAGATGGTCTTCCAGGGCCAATAGGACCAACTGGTGTACAAGGAATAAAGGGAGAAATGGGACCTCCGGGTAAATAAATGCATACATCTTATATTTTCTGTTGGTGAATGATCATTGGTCAGTTTAATCAATATTGTTTTAAAACATTCTATTAAAGCTGAACTCCAGGCAAACTAAAAACAAAATCAAACTTTTTATAAATGTGAACTGTTTTACCTGTTAAATATTTATCTTGCTGTCGACCTGGTAGTATTCAAGGTTATGCAAGCCTAATAGAGTCAGTGGTGATTTGTATGTTTGTCTGGAGTTAAGAACTCCAGCCTTACCTTCAGTCATGGACAATTGTATAGACTTCTCTCCTGCACTGAAACTGCTTCCTCTAATTCCACTGCACATTGTGAGCTTCTCATAGTTTGCATTAGAAGCTGCAGCAAGTTAGATAGCGCCTGATTCATTTCCTGGCTGGGGGACATTTAGCATCCTCCCCTGCATTACTGTTTATAGCCCTACCCTTTTACATGTAGGCATTACTTAGGGCAGTCTGCATGCAAATTCAGTTGTCTAGACACTCCCCTTCTCCAGACTAAAATCTACCCATCAAGGTCTGATATGCATAGGACCAATATGAGTAAATATTAATTTAAATAAATACGGAATAAAGTGCGTTTGTCTTGCTGGCAATTCATTTGTGATCAAGGCAGGTACCTGGTTCGGTACCTAGGTTACTATCTCTATGATCACGATAGTCAGATCACTCAACAGATGAACAACCACCAGGTGTGTGGTTAAGAGTAACTAGTATAAACTTCTTCAATTCAGGGGAAAGGCTTCTTCAAGGCTAACAAGTAGAGAACAATAACAATCTAAAAAAAAATTTACAATTGTTTATTTAAAATATATAACAGGTAAACAACATGCATAATGTGCATTACATGCAGGTATAATCTTTTAGTAAGATTGTTGTTGAATGGTCTGACAACAGGTCTCCCAGCTGCTTTCTGGAAATCCTCTTTAATAACTGTTAATTTTCTAAATAAATAAATAAGCAAAACTGCTACAAATGAAAAGAAAGAAAAAATACAGTCCAAAGCCCACTTGTACAATATAATGCTTGTACAATATAATGAGGGGGTGAGTTTGACCTACAAGTTACCACCAACCAAAAACATTGTAGGTACATTTGTAAAGAAGCCCTGAGCATGAATCTTGGCAACTACTATCTGCTAATTTGTATTTAATCTTTCACAATTCCTTATCTATAGTTCTCTTCTTTAATCACACCCTTTTAATATTGTTAACCTCCCTGGCGGTATGATTATTTTGATTTTCGTAATTTTTTCGGCGCAATTTTTTTCTGATTTTTTTCGTTATTTTATCTCTTCGTTTTTTCCGGGTTTTTTTCCGAATTTCACGCCGGTTACACCCCCATGCGACGCATCAGCTCGCAAGGGACGGAACCCGGAAGACCGATGCGGGCACCGGCCGGAGGACACCGCACGGCTCGAGGGACAAGGTAAGTAAATACTGTGGGATATTCCCGAGTGTAGCTCAGGGTATGGAGAAGTAACCCCGAGCTACACTCGGGAATACCGCCAAGGAGGTTAAACATACTGTATATCCAAAAATAGAAATGTTTTAAAATTGAAGCCTTACTCCAGGCAGACACAAATTAATACAACTCTGTATTTATCAATACATCTCTGCATCTAACTTTTAAATGCCAGCAGTGTGTTTGACCTGGTATCAGCCTCTTGTGGTTTCTGTACAGCAGAACGTAGACTGGGAGAGGGAGAAGCAGCACAAGGAGCCAATCGGTTTTGCTGCAGTGCTCATGTCCTCACAAGGATGTTTTTGACAGGATCAAAAAGCAGAGAGATGAGCTAATCAGCCTGCTGCTTCTTCCACTCTCCAGTCACTGGCTGGGTGAGGAACAAGACCTGTAAGTGTTACTTCACTTCATCAGAGAAAAATCAGGTCTCCTGCCATGCCAGACAGTGTTATAATATGTAAATATCAGAACTGGATGGACAAAAATACAAATCCTTTGGCAGGTAAAACAGCTCACATACAGTATATGCTTTAATCTATATATTTAGCTGTTTGCCTGGAGTTTAGATGTAACAAACTTGCTTTTTATCTTTTTTATAGCTGATGTGTTCTAGGAGATCAAAATAAGAGCACAAATAAATTCTAACAACAAAACAGCCATACCAGAGGCAAACAGAAGGTCTGTGCAGTGTGTAAGACCACCCATGCATATCAAGCTCTTACAAAGCAGCAAACTTTTTTTTGTAAATGGTTGAGTTGCACTTGAGTTAATGTACTGAGATAAATGATAACTTCAAGTGCATGTGATGTCAAAGAATGTTGCAATAGTGTAACACTATATAGAATGGCAATGGTATGCATTGTGTATACATTCTAATCTATTATATATGTTAATATAATTCACAGGAATTCCTGCATCACTGGATCCAGAAGTGCTCTCTCAGTTAGAAAACATAAACAATCGCATCACCAAACTTGAAGGAGGTATTAATCACAATGAAATATTTTAAAGACAAGAGCATTGTAAAATATAAAAGTAATAATACGCTGATGTAGTTTTATATAAAGGCGTTATTACTCCTTCCCAACAGATAATCTGCCAATCATTTTTCAGCACAGCAAAATGTATTAGCATGGTGAAGCCCATTGTTTCAGAAGTGTATGTTCACAGCAATGCTTTGTTTAGCAAAGTACATGCTAGATTTTTGCTTTATTGACCTATGTTTTTCCATTCAGGATAACTGAACAGAGTGCTTTGAAAGCATGCACATTCACATGCAGTGATATTTACTAAAGGAGTTAAGAATCTTCACACAATAAATTATGTAATTATTTTGCTTCAATTATATAATCATGTGAAAAGCAAATTCTTATTCCATTTTAGTACCCAATTCTGACTGGGTAATTGAAGTAAATATTCACACAATTTATATAAAGATTCAAATCGGCTTCACTGCATGTGAATGTGCATAGCAATGCAAATTAAGGTGTGTCTAAAGGCAAAGAAACGTTTAGCTGTGCACAGATTGGGGGAGGACTTTGCTGTCTCTATATACCATTGGGGGAGAATTATTTTTATTTTCTGTCACAGAGACACAGCTAGAAATCAGGGGGAAAAATAAAACTTTCTTAGATAATTGCCGGATAAATCAGGCATTCCCATTGGAAGGTTTTTCCTTATCTATTGTTTTTGTGACAACTGTCAAATTTTAGTTTTTATCCTTATGTCCTCGTCAACAATATATTTAACATAAACAAATTCTTTTTTTTAGGCAGTATAACTGACTTTTGGGTCATGTGACCAGGATAAGCTACACATATTTTCATTAAAAGTCAAATATTTGTGTTAAATTGTATAATATTTTTATTAGAAATTATGTAAATTCAGGCTTCATTTAGTTATTTTTTATAAATAACCATGTTTTTAATATTTCAGTTCTCATACTGCAAGGAAAAATACAACAAGTGAATAATAAAATACTAGCTACCAATGGAAAAGAGGTAGATTTTGAAGCTTCCAAAACTACCTGTAAGGATGTCAGTGGAAGAATTGCTACTCCCATGAATAAAGAAGAAAACGATGCACTCTTAAAAATTGTCAAGGAATTTAACAGATATGCATACCTGGGAATACGGGAGGGGCCAACTCCTGGAGAATTCTATTATTTGGATGGGAATCACCTACACTACACCTACTGGTATAAAAATAAACCAGCTGGGATAGGAAAGGAAAATTGCGTTGAAATGTACACCGATGGAACATGGAATGACAGGGCGTGTAACCAATACAGGCTCACAGTTTGTGAGTTTTAAATCTTCATGATCAGAATGGTTATACTTAAAGGGTCACTCCACTTTTGTGATTTAATTTACAATATATATAATTACTACACAAGTCTTTTTTGATTTAATGTTAATGCTGGACTCTATGCAGATATTAAAGACACACATTAATGCAGCTTTGTGATCATTAATAAATAATTACATGTATTTTTAAATGCAAGCAGTGTAAGTACCTGATTTTGACCTGGTATCAGTCTCTTGCAGTCCCTATACAGTAGGGTTGGAGTGTGATAGCAAGAATCAGTACAAAGAACCATTTAATTAATGTACTAATTAAACCATAGTACCAAGTAAATTTCTGATTTTAGTGTAAATATCACGGCAATAGCTGATTTTTGTTTATTTTATTAAGCTATTAATTTTCGATCTGCACCCAAACAAGATCCAAAACCATAACTTCAAACATAGCTTCCTTTTAGGGGGCATTTTGTGCACTGTAAATTCTTGCTTTTTTTTTCTCAACAAATAGATTTAAAATGAATGCAGACCATGTACCAACTGTTAGTATAACATGCATACATTTAATATGTTTCCTCAAACACATATCAGACTCTACTTCAGACCCATAAAATTCGGAGGAGAACAACTTAGAGGGTTATTCACAGAAGAGCCGAAGGATCCAGTCGTAGCATCGGCTGATCCTTTGGCTCGCTTCAGCCGCCTGAGCCCTTCGGTCCAGTTGAACCAAAGGACTGCTGTACGGCCTAATCACAATAGTCCGTACAGCAGCTGAAGGCAGTCGAGCAGCTCAGCCGTAGTGACACCAGAAGCGGGGAGAAAGGTCGGCCGAAGGCGACCGTTCTTTCCGTGAAAGACAACAGCTGGTTGGAGCCAGCCATAATGTCACGGCTGGCGCCGCCCAGTTGTTTTTTTTCAATGACAGCCCAGCGTCCTGGAGGATGCTGGGCTGTCATAACATGTAAACAGTTGGATGGAGCCAGCCGTAATGCCACGGCTGGCTCCACCCAGTTTTCTTTCAATGACGAGGACACTGGGCTGTTATTACATGTAAACAGTTCGGCAGAGCTAGCAGTGATGTCATCGGTACCTCCGGTCAATTGTTTATATTTTGACTACATCTGTCAGAATGCCATTCTGCGGTGGGAGTTTGTCGCAAGCGTACGGGAAGGCGGACGTCGTTTAAAAAAAAATTATTTCTATTAATTTTTTCTATTTCGTTGAGTTGTCATCGTCGTGGACAACGCTGGACGTTGTGACTGACCTTAGGATTACGTCGGTGGATCCACTTTTTTTTTTTTACACTAAAGGACTTGTCAAAATCCTTTGTTGTGCTTTTTTTTTTATAAAAGTCTGGACTTTTTATTTACATTTTTTTAACACTTTAGTGAATGGGTAGGGCTACAAGTACCCCTTACTCATTCACAAGGGGGGGCACAGTATCTGGGTTCCCCTTTATTAAACGGGTACCCTGATGTGAATAAGCCCCCCTGCCCGCACCCCCACAACCAATGCCCCAGGGCTTGTGGGGAAGATGCCCTTGTCCCCATCGGCACGAGGACAAGGTACTTTTCTAGGGGCGACCCTGGAAAAGCATCCTCCCAGTACCGAGGGCATGTGGCCTGGTATGGCAGGGAGAACATGCAGAGCATGTTCGACTGACCAAAGGCAGCCTTACAGAGCCGATGTATGGCTGATTTCAGCTGATGTACAGCTGAAATCAGCCGTACTGAGCCGGAGTGAATGGCCGAACGTCGTTCTGCTCTGTTAACCTCAGCTTTGTTATTCATAAGGCTGCCTTCGGCAGCTTAGTGATTAACCTTCTGAGTATTTTAATAAACGACATTGGAAACCCGACTCTGAGGTCATTTTTGTGTACTTGGTGTGTTATTGTTTTATATACAGTCTAATTGGCTTGTAACCAGGTAGAAATCACGGGACCCCGTAGCAACATTTTTATGGAGCCCCCTCCCCTGCTCGTGTATGCAAAATGCATACCTACACTAAGAGGGTTATTCACAAAGCTGCCGAAGGATCCAGCCGTTGCTTCGGCTGATTCTTCCGCTAGCTTCAGGTACGGGAGCCCTTCGGTTCAGTAGAACCCGTACAGCTCCCGAAGTTGGCCAAAGGCATATGCTTCAGCTCGACTGAGCCGAGATGAAATCCGAAGCTGGCCAGCCATTGGTCGGCTGAAAGCCTGCTACTGACAGCTGGGCAGAGCCAGCCATCATCTCACGGCTGGCTCTGGCCACTTGCAATGACAGATCAGCGTCCCCCTGGTTACCAGGTTACAATGAGAACTTGGCAGAGCCGCCGTGATATCACGGCGGCTCCGCCGAGTTCTCAGTGTGTAATGACAGTTGTTATCAGGCGGTGATATCAAAGGCCACTCTGCTAAGCTTTCATCGTAATGAAAGAACAGTGTCCCCTGGTTACTGGGTAACCAGGGGACGTGTTTCTGTCATTACAATGAGAGCTTAGCAGAGCCGGCTTTGATATCACCGCCGGCTCCGCTAAGCTCTCATTGTAATGACCGGCCAATAGAAAACATTTGTGCGGAGCTAGCTGTCACTGCTAGGTCTGCCGAATCGTTTTCTATTTTTTTTCTACTTTTTTAACTGGTTTTCTATTCGGTACCACAGAGGTATCGAGCAGAATAGTCGAGCCGAATTCCGTTCGGCGGCATTCGGCTACTCACTCACTGCTGTTCGGCCCCTATGAGAATAGGCCGAACGGCAGCGAGTAGCCTGCCGGAGGTTCGGCTCAGCCGATCCAGATGTTGGATCGGCTGAGTCGAACTCCTTCTGCATTTCGGCCTTCATGCTGAGCATGTTCGGCCGACCTGAAACCAGCCGCAGCAAGCCGATGTATGCTGATTTCAGTCGGTTTATGGCTGAAATCAGCCATACAAGCCTGAAGTGAATAGCCGAACAGCTTGCGGCTCACTTTACTTCGGGTTGGTTATTCACACGGCTGCCTTCGGCAGCTTTGTGAATAACCCTCTAAGTCTTGTCTAAATTACATTGCTGCCATGAACAAAGCTCTGGAAAGGTGGGGTTAATTATAACCCTTTTTCCACAGCTTCATGGTGGTTGCAGTGTTAATGGTTTTACAACCCTTCCCCCAGATTCAGTGAATACATGAATTGTGAACTACCAAGCAGCATGGTTGGATCAGATCCTATATCCCACAATGCCACCACTGCTACCCATGCCCCGTTTCAGTGAAATAATTGCAACCCTTACTTGACAATGGTTAACACCGCCATAGTAACCAAGATGATGGCCGAAACACCGTCTTTATCCTATGTCTGGGTGTAGGTATGTGCTAGGTGAGCAACCGGTGATTAGAGGCTTCTGTGTGAGCTCCACCCACTTGCACAGTCCATTACCTGGAAGCAGGCAAACACTTTTAGAGGCGTGCAGGGAGGGAGCATGTCCTTTAGTGGGGAGTGAGGATGCCATAAGCCCCTAGATCAGATATCTATTGTAGACCTCCCATTGTAATTCAGCAAGTAAGCAGACAAGCACCGGCAGCCATACTGCAACATAAGTGATGGAGTGGCAGTTGGCGGTAGGACTATTTGGACAACTCACCCATCCTGACCGGGCCCCCCTCTGCCCTGGGCCCCAGAGCGCCCATGTGGGTTGCTATACAGGTAGTATTACCAATGCCTGTATACTATTATGACAGAGGTTGTCCTGTAGAGAAGGGTAATACTGCAACCAACTGCAAATCAATTTTGCCGCTCTGTGGATTCAAACCCATGAACTTATGTTTACATAGCCACTGATTAACCCACTAAACTACAAACAGGTTTGATTGGGATTTCACCCCAAAACAGGCATAATTAGACATAGAAAACAGGCACCCAACCTACAGCAAAAAAAGTACATACAGGCAGTATTCTGCACACTCATGAGATCAGGATCGCTAGTGTGACATGGGCCTTAGTGAGCTCATAGTGAGCACAGAAAAACAGTGACTGGGCTGCGGAGAGAATATGAAAATATATACATATATAGTGGGCTTTCAGTTCCAAACATTAGGCAAATAAAGGCAGTTCAATCACCAATGTCAGTTTTGTCCAGCAAAGTCAGTACAGCAAATGCCTTCCCACACAGCGGGTATATCGCCTACAACTCCATTGTGAAAACATAGGTGTCCTGCCAACTCTGGGGTCTGTCTGTTAAATGTGCAGACTGCCTCTCCACCTACAGACATGCTCCACAGTCTGTCAAATCATTCATAATAAATATTATTTGCCACTATTTACAACAAACAGGGACATAGAACATTGTGCATTTTCAGAACACATTTTGATTTATTAACGCTTGTGTATACCTTAGGGCCTATTTACACCTGCATGGTCCACAGCCAAATGAACTACTATGGACCAAAATTGTATATGTTGTGGGTTGCCACAGTCAGATGGTGTGGAGGCTCTACTTTTTTTATGCACGGTAGTTTAGTCTAACCTGTCTAATAATTGTTTTGCTCTCAGCCACAGCATTAGTGCATTGTTTTAAAATTGTACGCAGACCCATAGACTTGCAGTGTGAGAAGGAGCACTCAAGCAAAGCGGTTTCACAGCACTGCAAAGCAGGAAGCAATACCTTTGTATTTGTATGTAATGGGCAAAAATGGCTGCCCCCATATACTGTACATAATTTTAACAGAGGTCACCAAAATGAGTGTAACTGCTTTACATGTGCAGTTACAATTTCTTTGTTTCAGCAGATCCAATAATGTCCAGTAGGCCACAAAATGATATCTTTAAAACCGTGAAATCTTTATCATGTGGCTCTATTAAACTAGTTTTTAATAACATGTGCTAACATTTAGTATTGCATTTATCTATCCCAGCAATTATACTGTAAAAAAACAAATAATATCAACTCATTGAAGCCCCTTCCTCAAGTGCATAGATGAAGTCATGGAGTCACATGCTGGTCTCTTTGGACATAGATTGCACTACTTGGTTTATTTTTTTTACCAATTGCACACACTTGAAAAATACAGCTTGGTACTGTAAAATGCCTCTTAATTTAATGGTCACTGCCTTGTGCAAATCCATTAGTTAATTTCTGAAGTTTTATTACCGCACTTATGGAAAACCTTAGGTTTAAGTGTGCAAGTAAGTGGGGCATTTCTCAAATAGAGTCGCGCCAGGATGCTCTTTAAGGTACAATCAAGTGTTTCAAAGCAATATAAAAGTGAGAGAATCCTACCAGAGCCCATTATCTTCTGGTTGTCCAAAGGTATGTAGTTAATTCTTTGCTTTTATTGTTTAAAGCTTTGACTTTGTATACTTTTATGTTTGGGTGTTGAATTTGCTAATTATTATGTCTTCCTACTTTTTTCTACACCAATCACACTAGTTTTACATTTAATAAGGTGTCAGGTGTATTACTTAACTAATTCTTAAGACTTTGGGTAGTGACTTTTTTCAGGGACGACTTTCAGTTGCTTATGTAATTTGCAGTTCCAGCTGTACTTTGTAGGGAGATGTCACAGTAGTAGTTTTATTGCAAAACTGTAATAAAAAAGGAGACATTAGACCCAATTCATCAAGCTGATATTTTCATCAGTAAGAGGCAATGGCATTACAAAAATAATAGTCACATTAATTAACTCTATGACTGTTATTGAAAATACATCTTAGGGTATTGAGCTTAATAAATATTATCAACAACAGGAACATTGCACACCAAGATGCAAAATACTACTCTTCCGTTAATAGCAGAAACAAGCTCTTATTCTGGTGTATTTCATTTAAATAAAAAATGCATATAATTGCAGGGCCCATCATGTAAGCGAAAACGGTTTGTTTTTAAAATGCAATAGATCGTATCCTTTCAAGGACACTAAATATACCTTGATCAGATACATTGAATTCTAAAAACCAAACCCATAGATGTACTTTGAACTGTTTTGACTTTTTTGGAGGACCCTGCAATGGGTTTTTTAAGGTTTTGAAAGTGTGTTGCCATGTTGGCTATATGGAAGAATAATCCTTTCTGCAAATAGAATACAATTTGTTTAATTTTATACTAATAATCTCTTCTTTAAGGTGTAAAATGTTACCCAAAACATTTATGTGTAAAGTGCCCCATATAAATTTTAAGTTTTTTTGATGTCTGTGTCTCCGCTGGGGAAATTCACCCTCTCTATTTGTCCCTGTTACCAATGCCACTGGAACAGGACATAGATAGCAACAAAGAAAAATGGCATACATTCCAAACTCCCCCTAAATTATGTATAAAGCTCTAATCTAGGGGATCTGAATGATTATGAAGGTTTTTTTTCCCATGTATTCTTTGCTTGTCTCAAAAAAACAAAAATGCAGGAATTTTCAACGAGTTAAGTAAGTTTAACAAGGTTGATATTAAAGGACAGCTGCACTTTTAATGCAGTTATCTTCCCCTTCACCTTTCCTAGCAAGCCCTCCAAGTGTGCCACTTACAAGTTTGCAAACCACAAAGATCTTTGCCATAAGGCCACTCATTTCTGCACAACCTCTTCATGGAAGCTCTCAGTCCTATGAAAAGGCTGGGTTTTTTTAGGCTCACATTCAGTGGCTTTCCTCTAGAAATGAATGGGGAAACCATAGCACATGCACTGCACATGCGTGGTCTGGCCTGGGAAAGTTTACATGAAGAGGCTGTGTGGGAACCAGCGACTTCTTAGTGCAGATCCTAATGGACCGTAGACAGGTAAGAGGGCTTACTTAGGTAGAGTAATGACTTTTTAAGGTTAACTGTACTAAAAGCATTGCTATCCAATAAATCTTTCACACTTAGAAATCGTATTCCTTCCTTAAACTATGGCATTTGCACAAGATGTAAGTGGTTGTATGTGTTGTGGTTGACTTACTATAGAAATATTTTCTTTTCATCAGACTGCCATGATGAAATTCTTTCACAGAACTCTGCTGCTTACAGCACTGGTGTGTCTTGTGACATGTCTTCCACAAGCACCGGCCAACTGCCCTCTACATGTTCCAAGAAAAGAAAACCTAAATGGGATTCCTAAAGTAGGAACTGAAGAAGTGAAGAGAGAATTACCTGCGATAAAGGGTATTTCTTAAAAAATAAATATATAAATATATATATATATAACTGGTACATAGTTGTGGAATGAAATTAGTGAATATGAGGAAACATAATGGTGCAACGCTGTTATATCACCCCCAAATGGCATCAAGGGAAAGGCTAATCCTCAGATTTCATTGGTTTCCACACAGTTGAACTGCCTTTGCCTATACTAGAGATTAGATATTGATTTCCTTTAACATAGAACAGAACACAAGACAAGTATTTATAAACTTTAGTCCAGTTATGTACTTATAATTCTAATGTATTTTAGTTCCTGCTAGAATAGCTGCTTGAAAGTTTTATATTAAAGTTGAACAAACAGGTAAAACACAGTTGAAATAGATATGAGTAAGCTGTTTCACCTGTCAAAAAAGTTCTAAATCTGTTGATCCAGTCCTGAGACGAGCGAGCTTGGAACGATGGCTACTTTACAACACACAGGGACCACGAGGAACAAATGTAGCCACCTTCCAGATGAAGTGACACAAAACTCAGGAGTTATAGTCTAAAAATGCATTCAAAAAAACCCACAACTATTAACAAAAATGTAGCTTATTAGTGTATCACTCTGCTGTGGATCCTCAAATCATCTCTAAATTGGTGGGGACACTGTCCTTCCTTCTGGAGGGTGGCTACTTTTGTTTCCCGTGGTCCCTGTGTGTGTTGTAAAGTAGCCACCTCTGCAAGCTCGCTAACGTGTTGAACTATAATCTCAGTACAATTTAGATAACTAAACGTGAGATTGTAGTTAATCTTGGAGCTATAGTTGAGCTTGGAGCAGTGTCTACTTTACAACACACACAGGGACAATTGGGAAAACAAAAGTAGCCACCCTCCAGAAGAAAGGACAGTGTCAGCACCAATTCAGAGATGATTTGGGGATCTACAGCTGAGGGATACACACATAGGATACATTTTTGTTAATAGTTGAGGTACTTGAATGCATTTTTAAGATTTAACTCCTGAATTTAGTGTCACTAAAAGTCACCTCCTAGCTCCCAGCCTATGATTGAATGGTAAAGTAGCAGCAGAAAACTGATGGGCTCATTTCTCTGCTCACTCTGGTCTCTCCTTTTACTATCATGTTCTTAGTCAGTTTATGTAAATACATTAGAACCCAACTGCCTCTTGGTACTGCCCTCTCTCCACACTAATTGAATTTTTAGATAAACATTTATGAATTTTTAGATAAACATGACTTTTTTTATATCTGCCTGCAGTTCAGTTTAAATTTACTACAATTCGCTGCATACCAGAAATCCCATCTAGACTGTTGGCTCTACCCACTCTTATTTTTCAGAAGATTTAACAAGATTCTACACAATTTTTTTATCATAACGATCACCAGTTTGCAATCATATTAATCATATATATTTATTAATCATGCTTTAAAGGAGAACTATGGGGCCAGGACGTTTTTGCCCATAGTTCTCCTTAGGGTGACGGGAGGACACAAACTAGCGTCCTCCCGTCACCCTAAGCTCAGTATACCGCAAGCTACAGTTTGCGGTATACTGAGACACCGCCACGGAGCGGATCCCGACATCAATGTCGAGATCCGCCCAGCTGCGTGAGTGACAGCTGGCTCTGCCTATCTAGAGGCAGAGCCAGCTGTACCCGCCCCCTCCCCAGTCAGAGCTGGTGGATCGGAGCGGGGAGGGGGGAATCCAGCCCCTCCCCTGTCACGGCAGAGAGCCGTGACAGGATCGAGAAGTAAGCGAACACCGGTATATGTTCGCTCACTACCCGATCTACTGAGCCGACCTGTGACAGTCTCATTGTCACAGGTCGGCTAGAACTATGAGGTGAGTGAAAACCACTCACCTCATAGTTCTCCTTTAAAGTGAATGCCACTTTGCTATATCAGGGTGAAGTGACAGGTTCTCTTGAAATACCACCCCACCAATTGATACTGATTTTTGCCACACTCCCCCATTGTTCCACTGTCCTATTGGAGCTGTTGGAAATACCAGGGATTAGGGAGCATGTGACCTACTCCCCTTCCTCCCACCTGGCTGGTGGACTGCACACATTCACAGTGCCCCCCGCTGGTTGTCTCACACTGCAGCAGAGTCACATTCCACTCAGGCAGGTAAAATCAATGCCAGAACACCTGGAATTAACCAGATAAATGCCAACTATAATTCAGCCAGGCTGACTGCAGCTCTGGCAATCATTACATTTCCTGTAGCCACTCCACTAGAGGTGGTAGTACTACATTATTTTAGTGTAACCTTCCAAACAGATATCACACAGGGTTTAGACCCTTAGATCAAATGAGGAAACAGAGCGGCAAGGATGATGAGTATCAGTTTGCATGTATGGGAAGGGGGTAGGGTGAACCTTTAGGTGAACATGTCACGTTTCCCTGAATAGGCTAAGCGACACATTTTCTTTCATTATTACTACAGCCACTGGGACTGGTGGTGATGTCCATGGAAATACCTCTTATTGATCCTAAAGTAATCTTCCATTGCAAAAACTGAATGCAGTTAAAGTAATTTAAATAGCAAGTTGTGCTTTATTAAGAGTATAATTTAGGAGATGGATACCTAGAGAAGATACAGTAAAGAACCAGTACTGATTGATGTTTTCTTTGCTTTTTGAAAATAGCATGAAAATCAATGTCCTTTATGCTTGTTATCAGGAGCAACACAATCTAGATAATAATATTGAAAAGAGCATTGAATCCAACTCTATTTTTAATGCACTACACTGTTATCATTAGGTATAACCATTCATCTCCCATTCACCCAGGTATACTGAATACACTTGGTATTGGCAGACCAACTCTACGTAAAGCAGGCTCTGATCCCAAAGGATTAGATAAAAAGAAGCCAATTTTGCCTAGCTTGGGAATTTCAGGTAGGCAATTCACATGAAATGTAATTGTCTGGTGTTTATTTTTTTACTATGTCTTTTGTCTTTGCTATATATTTTTTCTATATGTCTTTTGTTATGCGTGAATAAATTAATACAGCAGCATCAGATGGGAGAAATTCATGTCATAAAAAGATAATAAATGTAATACCTTCTATAGGTGCTCCCTCAATACCTGATCTTCAATTGGTAGATCTAAGCCGTCGAATCAACAAACTGGAATCAGGCAAGTGTTTAAACAGATCCATTTGAACTGTTTTTGTTTTTATAACTATAGCATGTATTTAGTTAAAAAACTAAAATTAGAAACAGCTGGCTGCCTTTTTTTATTATTGGTATTACATAATAATTCTGAGTTTCAGCACAAACTTCAGGAAGTACATGTCTCCTGCCTTCCTTCTGTATATTAGCCCAGCTGCAGTGTTTGGCTGATAACATTCGTAGGTCACTAACTGCTTAAAGCCCATTTCCGCCTTTGTGGAGGTATTTTTAAAAATACATATGCCAGCAATGTGCTTCGAGAGTACATGAAGAAGATATATACAGTTGCTGTATATGAACACAGAAACTTGTTTTTTTTTAGCTGTCCTCTTTATCTCCTCATGGCTCCTTTTGAAATGGCCTTCTATGTGCTCTGCAAGCAGTCTGTGTAAATTAACACTCCCTCTTTTACAATGACTTACAGGGAGGGGGTTAGCTGCTTTACAATCTGACCCCAGTGTAAGACTGAGTTTCCAGTGAAGATAATTTTCAATTTGTAGGACTCAGGCCTGCTAAAAAGTCCATTAAAAAATGTAAAAAGCCAGTCAAATAAGTAATCAACATGTACACACAAATACATCATCACTGCAGCTCTACATTATCACAATAAATGCTAATCGCTTACAAAGGTGGAAATGGGCTTTAAACTTGTTGTCTTTGGGGCACTTTAATCTTTCTATGAATTTTTGAACTCTTAAAGTGAATCTGCCACTTCTTTTTGTAGCTGTGAGAACAGAACATTTCTGTGTAATCTGCAAGGAGATGTTGCTTACACAAGGCTATGCTCTCCCAATGTAATAGCACTGATTGGCACAGCACTGTCAAATGCTCTTCCATACCCAGAAGCACAGGGAATTTACTTTGGCTGCTGATGCTGATAAGAGTGTAAAGGAAAGGGACGGTAAGTATATGTTGCTAGGGAGAGGGATTAATACAAACATTTTGCTTGGCCCTGAATGGGTAAAACGAGTTTGAATTAAGGTACACAAAGCAAATATGTTCACTTCTACTAATTTGTTTAAACAATTTTGGACAGACTTTTCACAATAATGTATTGTCTTTTATGTTTAGTGCTCAAGCTCCTAGGATTTATCAAAGTGGTAGGAGATAAAATGATAGCCAGCAGTGGGAAGGATGAGGAAATAGAAAAATCTCACACCACGTGTCAAGCAATCGGTGGCCGTATCGCCACTCCCACAAATGAAGCAGAGAACAATGGCACCCTATTCTTTTTGAAGAAATATAATCAATATGCATACATCGGCTTGAAAGAGGGACCAGTACCTGGAATCTTCCATTATCATAATGGAATTCCTGCACTTTACACCCACTGGAGGAAGAATGAACCCAGTGGCAAAGGGCAAGAAAAATGTGTGGAAATGTACACTGATGGCCAATGGAATGATAAGGGCTGCAACCAAAAACGCCTCACAGTTTGTGAACTCTAAATCTTATGAAGATATTTCTGGCCTTTCTATGTAATTCTAGAGTGACTATTAATTAAGTGTATAACCTGCAAAATATTATATATGAAATATAATGCATGCTTCAATGAAAGAGGTATTTAAATAAGGGTATATTTTAATGTATCTTATATTGTTACTTTACAAGATTAATGATTATTATATACATCACAACAATCACATTCGCAAACTGTAACAAAGCCTGTTTTGGAATTATGAAATAAAACCAAAAGCATATTACGTTTCCCTGGCTTTTCTTTATACTGTATGTACATTTCAGTAGCTCTGCTTGTCCCCCAACACACTTTAGACTAGTGGTGATCCCATCTTATAAAACACAGCTGTCTTCCCTTCACATCTGCTGCTGTAGAGGCTATGATGCACTTGTGACTGTCTTTATCCATCTCTGTGCATGAATGGAGCTTATACAGTATAGTAGCACTTCTCAACTTTTGCATACATGCTCCTGTTTCACGACAACTCTGAAAAACACAATATGATATATGTAGAAGCAGAAGCTCCTTTCAGATCTCCTCAGTGTCTGTGGGGAATTTTGATTTGTACAGATTATGAAGCTACAGGTAACAAAAAAAGGGGACAGAAGCGCTACCACCATATAATGACTTTGATTAACCAAAAGGAAAAACTTACCAAGAAGTAAATGCTGATGCGATATCATCGATGAGGGGTGGATGGATAAGAAACCTCCACTGGTGGGGATAGTGAGCAATGAATTGTGTGTGTGGACCGGTATGGGGGAATTTTAAGTTTGTTACTGCCGTGGGGCTGTGGGGTGCTAAATGGTAGTGGGAGCCTGGGTCCAATTACTGCATAGGAGGGGAGTGCTGATATTGGCAGGCACGGATGGATAAAGGCTGGTGGATGCTGTCAGGACTAAGAGGGGTATAGTCCGGATGGCTCAGAAGGGCATGTTTTGGAGCAGAAGGGATTGGGGATGTGGATGGAAGTGGATTAGATGGGACATTTTTATGTGAAAGGAGTGGCCAAGAGGGAGAGGGGGAAGGATGAATATTGCAAGGGGCGCAGAGTTAAAGCAGAGTGGGGGTGGTGGGAGATTCAGATGATAGTATTAATTTCCAACTCTACATCAGGCCATGCGGGGACAGTGTGTTTAGTTTATAAATCCAGTATGTTTCTTGTTTGCACAGGAGGTGGAATCGTTCTGATGGTGGTTAGTTTAGCGGGATCTGCTCAATGGCAAAAACTTTTTGGTGCTCGGTATTTTTGTGGTGTTTCAAGAGGAAGTGGCGTGGGACGCTATGCTCAGTGCACCCCTTCTTGATGAACCTCCTGTGTTCCCCTATGCGTTTGTGGAGGGGTGTGATGGTGCAGCCTATGTACAGGAGGTTGCAAGAACATTGCAGGCCGTAAATTACGTGATCATGGCCACATGTGATGAATTGCGTAATTGGGTATTTGGTACCCGAGCTATCTTGGAAGGACTGGCCATGGGAGATGAACTGACAGGTGAGACATTGTCTTTTTTTTGCATTTGTGGACCCCGATTATATTGTTAAATGTGAACCTCTGTGTTTTTTCGGGTTTGTGGACGGACAATTTACTGGGGGCCACTATGTTTTTGATGCTCCAGGCTTTTTTGAAGATTACGGAGGGTTTGGGTGGTAATAACGGGCCCAGGCTGGGGTCACAGAGTAATAAATGCCAGTTTTTCTTGAGGATGGCTTCAATGTCCTTGTCCCTACTGTTGAATGGGGTGATGAATCGTACGGGGTTGGTGGACCCACTACACCAATTCCTGAACGCCCTAAAACCCCTTATCGAATTAGCATTCGACAAAAAGATCATCACCAAAAAAGAGAATGCAGTTTTGTGCCCCCCACAACCTAAAACACCCTTTTTCTACCACCTACCTAAAACACTACACCACTACACTTGGGAGCCCACATACCACTGGATCTCCCTTGACGTCTGCTCACTCTACACTTCCATTCCCCATGAAGTAGGCCTCCAGGCCCTACAATATTACTTGTCCCATGAACCAGAGCTCCATCACAAGAAAACCAAATTAATTCTACACTCCACTAAGTTCACCCTTGAACACAATTATTTCACTTTCCTAGAAGAATTTTACCTCCAAATTCAAGGTACAGCTATGGGGGCCAATTATGCCCCCAGTTATGCCAACCTAACCATGGGCTTCTGGGAGGAATTTTACATCTGGCACAATAATCCCTTCGCCCGACACCTGGTTTTCTACGGACATTACATTGATGATATCATCATTTGGGACGGTCCTTCGGACACCATCAATGACTTTGTTAAGCACTGCAACACCAACCCCTCAGGGCTCAGTTTCACACACGTCACAGACAAATCCCAATAGGTCTTTTTAGACCTCGAACTAACTCACTCCGACACCGAGATAATCACGAAAACACACTTCAAACCCACCGCCAGCAATTCTTATCTCCATTACAAAAGTTGCCACCACTCCATCTGGAAGCGTAATGTCCCGAAAGGACAATTCTGGAGGATTGACAAAAATTGCACGAATAAAAAATACTACATTTCTCAAAGCCACGTACTGAAAGACAAGTTTGTGGAAAAGGGTTAACCCAAGGAACTCATCAATAAGGCCCGTGATCACTTCATCACCAACACCCCAACACTAAGGAACAAAAAAAACAAGCGCCAATCCACCAACCCAGTACGATTCATCACCCCATTCAACAGTAGGTACAAGACCATTGAAGCCATCCTCAAGAAAAACTGGCATGTATTACTCTGACCCCAGTCTGGGCCCGTTAATCCCACCCAAACCCTCTGTTATCTTCATAAAAGCCCGGAGCATCAAAAACATAGTGGCCCCCAGTAAACTGTCCGTCCACAAACCGGAACAAACACAGAGGTTCACATTTAACAATAGAATCGGGCTCCACAAATGCAAAAAAAGACAATGGGGTCTATTCACTACACTGCCGAAGGATCTAGCCGTAGCTTCGGCCGATCCTTCGGCTAGCTTCGGCCCCAGGACCGCTTCGGTTCAGTAGAACCGAAGGGGTGCTGTACGGGCTATTCACTATATGTCATAGATTGACTCGGACAGGTGCGCCGTCGCCGCGGGCCGGCGGCTCGGCCGTGACGTCACGGCCCCTCCCCCTGGGTGCGGCGCCTCCTCCTCTTAAACACAGCTGAGTCAGTCACTCGGCGTTCAATCGTTGTGGAACGTCGAGCGACTGACTCTGTGGGGAACAGAGCCACAGACCATCCACAGCATTAAGTGAGGTGTTCAGCCTTCCTGTTGGGACTCAGTTACTGCTAGCTGCTACGGCTCACATTGTTACACAGGATTACCTCCTACTCCTCCTGAACTCCCTCCAATCTTGAACCGCAAGTACAAGATGATCTCCCCCTACCTGTTGGTAGCCACTTCAAGCGATATTAGACGTATATGATAGCAATGAACTGTGTGCCTTGATACCAACTGAAATACCATATTGCTGGTTATCTTCCACCTATTGGTAGCCACTTCAACCCATATTAGACGTATATGCTAGCAATGAACTGTATGCATTGATACCAACTGAATATACCATATTGCTGGTTATCTCCCACCTATTTGTAGCCACTTCAAAGCGATATCAATTGAACATATCATATTGTTGATTATTACGGATTGCATAACCACCGCACTACACATCTCCCAAAGTGTATTGGTGAACGCCATTCAGTAAATCTGTCACACCGTGATCATTGTGGATTGGAGAGCGGTGATAGGAAAACGATTCCCTATTTATTCCTGCAGTGACAAAACTACAATTCACCACACGCCTCCACTTGAGGTTGATAGTTATAACCAAAATACCTACATTGTATACCTTTGACCCTTATTGGTGAACCCAGGGCATGGGTCGACACCTTCCTGGAAGAAGAGAACCCCATCCTAGAGTCCCTGCAGGACTTCCTACATGCCATGTCCTTGTTATATGAGGACACAAACAAACAACTTACCGCTGAAAGCACCATACGCAGCCTTAAACAAGGGAATAGGCCGGTGGAAGACTATATCGCCCAGTTTAAAAGATGGGGAGGCCAAACTGAATGGAATGATATAAGCCTACGGAATCAGTTCCGTCTGGGACTTTCGGAACCATTGAAAGACGAGCTCGCCCGAGCAGAGTTGACCCCCACTCTGGATGGCCTCATGCACCATTCCATTTCCATTGACCGGAGCATCCGCGAGAGGAGGGCCGAGAAAACCACCAGTCAAACCCCCTCAACCAGGCGCGCCTCCCCATCCCCAGGGGAAGAGGCCATGGAGATCGGAGCTGTATGTGGACCACTATCTCAGGCAGAAAGGCTTCGGAGAAGACAGCAGAAACTCTGCATGTATTGCGCAGCACCGCAACATGCGGTAGACGCATGCCCATTGATTCTCAAAAAGAACGAAGGTAAGAGCATGCAATTAAACAATTCTCTCCCCTTTCATCCACCTTCAAGTAACTACCTCTTTGTCTTCTTGACATTGCAGTGGGAGCAAAACCGTGTGTACACTGAAGCGATACGGGAGCTTGCTCTAACTTCATTGACGATCAATTGGTCAAAACAAATAAAATCCCTACCCTAGCAAAAGCGGTACCGCTTGCAGTGAGTTTTATTGATGGAACCACATTAGCCACGGGTCCGATTTCTCGGGAAACGCACCCTCTACAGGTGACTACATCCGGGAACCACAGGGAGGTATTGGCTTTCGATGTGATTCCATCGCCAAACTTCCCAGTGATCCTTGGATTACCTTGGTTGCGATTGCATCAACCAGCTCACCTGTGGTCGCAAGGCGGACTTCAGCTCAACTCCACGTACTGCAAGGATAACTGTCTCCCTAAACCTCATGTACTACAAATCTCGCCATTATCGGTTCCCCCCCAATTTGGTCTCCCCCCCCCCCCCCCGGGGAGTTCGCTGACGTTTTCAGTCAGAAGGGGGCTATCGCATTGCCCCCA